CTTTAGGTTATCGGAAACATTTTGATATAAGTTTTATTAAAAATTTACTCACTGGATTCCATATTATCTTCAGAAAAAGATTCGTCATCAGTTTCCTCATTAGATAAATATACATGCTCATCGTTTTCTCTATAATCTTTTGCATTGTTAAGTGCTCTTTTCCATAATCCAACAATAACTTTAGAATTTACCTTTTCTTTGAAAGCCCAGAGAAGTTTATTTCTAATTTCAAGAAGATTTTTATGCGGACCTGACCTTGCTACTTCACCCTTAACAACTGCCCAAACGCCTTCAATTGGTTGAAGTTCACAGTGATAAGGTGGTGTAAAAAAAAGTCGGTGACCATGTTGTTTAGCTATTTCTACACAAGCAAACGGAACTTTCTCTTTGTTTTGTCGAACAAGCTCGAGAAGTTCTGCTTTATATGCATCAATAGGGACAACAACTTCTTTACGAGTCAGCCAATCGATAATTTCAGATTTCTTTGAAGCAGAGGTAGGTATGTTTTCGATTCGCCTTTTATGATAGCGTGCGCCATCCATATGAATATCAACTCCTCCATATTTTTCTTCAACTGTGGCACATAGTTTCATAAATAAAGATTCAAAAATTTCAGCATTGAAATTGCCGTGATAATCTATCTGATCAGGTACAATTGCAGTATCTCTAAGAATGTCAGGAATATTATCCCAAGCTTCTAAATTAGATCGTTTTCGTCCTCGACTTGATTGTGGTTTGATTGCTGGATCCCAAATGTAAATTGAGTTTGGAACAATCTCACCATATGTTTTGTTATGGTTTCCATTTCGAAAAACAACAATTGCTCCAAAAATTACGAGAAGTGGACCACGACCCGGTGCTAAAACAACACCTTGATGAGGAACCCAAGTGTTAGGTGAAGTATGATGAAGATGGCAGTATGATTCATCTAAAAACACTTCAGGTCGATTTGGAATATCATTGTTTCCCTGTAAATTTGATAAGCGACTACGAATGTATTGGCACCGAAATGATACGTTGTTTGGGGATTCATGTAAAATATTCCTACGTTCGCCGTGGCCATAATAGTAACCTATTGTGTGCAACAAACGAAGAAGTTTCCACTTAGAAAGCGTAAACCCATTCTCAGCAAGATATTGCCGCAGAATTGGCGTTGAAACAGGCGTTCCAGCTTTGTTTGCATTGGTAATTTTTTCACGTAAAAGTGTAATAATATCAGGGCTCGGCTGCAATCGCGGCCGTCCTATATTTTTTTGTTCTGCAAATGAGCCATTTTTACACTCATTCCATTTATGAATAACCCGCCCAACTGTACTTTCTGAAACCCCCAGAACCTCAGCAACACGCTTGCGTAGTGTGAACTTTTGACGTTTTTTAGATGAGGAATTCTCCTCTGAAAAGTATTTATGAGCGTTTAAAATCATTATTTTTTCGTTTTCAGTTAGAGGAGCAGCACTTCGTTGGCTCGAGAATAGAGACATTTTTAAACAAGTTAAGTGATGTACTATATAAAGATGGTTATTCACTTGTCTAAAATTGAAAAAAAAAGTTATAGTTATTAAAGTCGCACACAGCTTTAACTAGGCGATTTGATAGCGATCAATTTCGAGGTATCTATCTTTTTGCACCGGACCATA